AATATTGAGGCGTTTTAAATTTTTTTTTTTTTTTACATTTGGTTTGAATATGACTCTTCTAATCAGAACATTTAGTTTCAAAAAATATATTCTAGAACTTTTGATTAGAAATCCTAAATTCAAGCTCTGGGCAGCCAAAGTGGCCACATAATCTCATGATACAGTACTAATCTACAGTCCACTGCTGCTATCTAGAAATGCATCATGCTTGGGTGGGCTCAGGGTAAAATTGACTGTGGTTTTCATGCATCATGCTGTGAATCTGCTGTGGTGAGATACATTTCCTGTTAAGAAAAACAAGCTCAAAAATAACAGCTATTTTCTGCTGCACTATTACTGCAGAGACTCTCACAGCTGATACGAGTAAATGTCCTCAGAGCAGGTGAGCTGGAATTACGTGTATAGAAAAATGTGTCAGTCTTGTGCAGGATGAGGACATGGACCATTAGTAACAAACCCTGACCCAGTCCACTATAAAAGTCACCATGGATACCAAAAGAAAATCAGTCTCAGGAATGATGCTGCCTTCAATTCATGTTGGAATGATCACAAGATAAGCACTGAAAAAAAATGGGATATTTGGGAAGACCGGACATATTTTATATGACTGTATTATTATATATTGCTTTTATATTTACTTTATAGGGGAGGTCTAATGCTATTTCATGCATTCTGACTTATTTAGACAGTTAAAGATTTGGATTCTCACGCTAAACATTAAGTTTCTAAACACGAGTTGGACGTATGACAGAGTATTTCTGTGGCAAATACACTCCTTCAGGGTTTGTATAAGTTTCAGAAAGTTTTTTTCGAGTATGGCCCTGTATGATGTCATAAAGAGCGGAATTCCTTATATGGGCACTTCTCCTGGAAGAGCGCGCGCACACAGCATACAGAGCGAGAGCAGCCCATCAGCATGCTTCATTCAAGTTACAGAAGTCGTCGTCAGAGCTGCACAGGACTTGCTCGAGAAGAATTTCTTCTAAGAAGTGTGGTTTTGGTTGTGAGGGATAGATAACCTTGTTTAGCTTCACATAGAACCCAGCGTTAAGGGAACAGTGGATGCAGTTTATTTCTCCGGGGCAGCAACGAAGTTTCGCAAGTGTGTTTGTTTGTTCCTGGCATTTCAGTGACGAATGATTTATAAACAAATTAAATCAAATTTAAGTCAATAAAGTTTGAAACATAGTGGAACATGATAATTGACTGACATGCTGATCATTTAAACCATGTTAATATTGGTCAATACTAGCATGGTCACCAATATATCATGCATCCCAAAACCCAAACATGACAGTGTGCTGACATCAGTCTGACAGCTTATCACCAGGCAGTTAAGCTTGTTTTTGTGAACCGCCACCGTGCAGCAGATGGACTTATCTCTTATGTCTGTGGGACTTACACACTGCATCAGAGATCAAAGACGCCTCTGGATCCAGTGGAACACCAGCAGCTGAGACCAGTAGTGCACGTGCACAGAGATTTAAAGAAATACTTCACCCAAAAGAGAAAAAGCTCTTCATTGACTCATCCTTGTATTGTACTGAACTGCATAACTGCCTCTCTGCACAGGAACCAAAAATTTTGTTTTTTAAGAATATCTTGAAATGTTTTTAAACATATTGGCTGGCCTTTTTTATATAATGAAAGTGAACAGGGACTAGGGCTTTCAGGCTCCAAAAAAAAAAGCATTATAAATGTGCATACATAATTTATAATATCATACGACATCTTCAAAGCCATAGGAAAACTGTGTGTGAGGAACAACCCCAAATTTGAGTCTTAAAGGGGTCATATGATGCTGCTAAAAAAACATTATTTTGTGTATTTGCTGTAATGAAATGCGTTTATGCGGTTTAAGATTCAAAAAACACATTATTTTCCCACATACTGTAATTATTGTTTCTCCTCTATGCCCCGCCTTTCTGAAACGCGTCGATTTTTACAAAGCTCATCGGTCTGAAAAGCGAGGTGTGCTCTGATTGGCCAGCTATCCAGTGCGTTGTGATTGGCCGAATACCTCAAGCGTGTGACGGAAATGTTACGCCCCTCACCATACTGTTGATGCTGTGTCCGGCCGGAGCGACGAGACAAAAACATTAAAACCCATTATAAACGAGGCATTTGTTGCATCCAGTGGGGACATAATTACGGATTATGATGACTTATACTGTCTTTTTACGCGTTGCGTAGCATCGCGCTGCGTAAAAGTCTTTTGGAAGACCAAACAAAGTAGTTTCGCTGTCACAACGAAACAGCGTCACAGGCCTGCGGCCTCGAGCATGCGTAGGCCGGCTTGAGCAAGCAGAGGCGGGCAGGCTTGAGAACGGCGCGGCCGGAGGGCTTGCCCACATAGTGAGGTAGACATGTGGGGGCGTGTTAGAACGAGCCGTTTTAGGTAGGCGTGGCTGACTCTTAACTTTTATAAAGAATATCTCTTTGGATTTGAGACTTTAGTCTTTGCAACTTTACAGATCTTCTTTATGCACCAAGAGCTTGTAACACTCCAAAGAGAAAGGAACAATTTAAATCGTATCATATGACCCCTTTAATTCACTTTAAAAAAGCTTTACAAAATTGCATTTTGATGCCACTCACTTGTCAAAACATCGCCTTTTCAAACGATCTTGACTTAAATTTCTATACGGTTTCAGTATATTGTGTAGTATATGGACCACTTTTATGATGCTTTTATATTGAATTTTATCATTTTGGAGCTTGACCGCTCCAGTCCCCATTCACTTTCATTAACTATCCAAAACAGCAGCTAACATTCTTCAATTTTGTAGGTTTCACAGAAAAACGTGAGTCATACAAGTTTGGAATAATTCCTTTGAGGGTGTGTTTTATTGGAGCCGAGACAACATTGCAATGAAACGGTCAAAGGAATCACAGAAAAATAGAGAATACCAGAGACTGGTCTCTTTCTTCACAGTCTTTCCTGCTTTTTCCCCCAAATGGAGCAAGTCCATGTACACCTAAAAAGCACTGCCTAGCAACACTGGGTTGCCAGGATCAGCCCCATTCTACTGCCGTTAGTGGTTAAACGAATCGTAGGTGATCCGTGATTCGTACGGACCAAGCCCCACGGTTCGGCACGTATGTGATTTGCAAAATTTAACCACAATAGAATGAAAGTTTATCAATTGTACGTGTTTACACACGCAAGCGATTTTAAACCATTCTAGCTAAAGAAAAGGCGAAATGGAACTCGATTCGTTACTCGCGCGCAGTTTTCTCCCACAGCCGCACAAACATGAAGCTCG